GGCACTCTACCCAGGGCAACAAAGTGAGACTCTATCTCAAAAAACCAAACGAACAAAAAAAACCCCACGGGTGTTAGAGAGCCCTCGAGGGCCATCCAGCACTGAAAAATTTTTTTCCATTCAAGGACAGGGAGATTCCAACACCAAGGGCAATGAATAAAAAAGGGAGCACTGCAGAGGGAAAGATAGGGCCAGGTGCACAGGTGGCCTTAGAAGAGGGCTCCTGGAGGCTGGAGGGAGGGCGCAGGTTCCTCTGAGCTGAGCTAGCCTCATTCTTTCTGCGGAATGGGAGGCAAGGGCATCTGCTGGAAAAGCACGGGGGCAGTGGGAGTGGAGCAAAGGTTGTAGGAGTGGGTGGTGGAGGCTGAAAGAAGCTGGCTGAGGAGGTTAAGGGATTTCTAGGTAGATTTAAAGGCCCAGATGATGTTGAAACCCATAACCTGTAAGGACTGCTCCAGTGTGCTTGGCCGTGTGGCCCTTCCTGGCAAATATGGTAGCTATGAGCAGCACTAGATGTTGAGGGCTTCTGGGCAGGTTAGGAGGAGGAAAGATGGGGAGAGGGTTATAGTGTCTTTAGTAAGAGTGTCAAAGATACTAGCCTTGGGGCAGAGAAGCAGCTGAGGCACCACTGCAGTTGCATGGGCTTTGTTCTGGTGAGGTGTTTTTTTTTGTTTGTTTGTTTTGTTTTTTTTAAAGACAGAGTCTCACTTTATTATCCTTGGTAGAGTGCCGTGGGGTCACACAGCTCACAGCAACCTCCAACTCCTGGGCTTAGGTGATTCTCTTGCCTCAGCCTCCCAAGTAGCTGGGGGACTACAGATGTCTGCCACAATGCCTGGCCACTTTTTTGTTGCAATTTGGCTGGGGCCGGGTTTGAACCCTCCACCCTTGGTATATGGGGCCAGCACCCTAAACCTACCCACTGAGCCACAGATGCCGCCCTGTTCTGGTGAGGTGTTAGAACAGGGGCTTTGGGCTCAGCGCCTGTGGCTCAAGCGGCTAAGGCGCCAGCCATGTACACCTAAGGTGGCGGGTTCGAATCCCCAGCCCGGGCCCGCCAAACAACAATGACAGCTGCAACCAAAAAATGGCCGGGCATTGTGGCGGGCGCCTGTGGTCCCAGCTACTTGGGAGGCGGAGGCAGGAGACTCGCTTGAGCCCAGGAG